ATATTCGCATCCTAAAGACTAACACCAATTACTAACACCAATTATTCTGAGAGAGTGGAGGAGTAACTTTTAGCTTTCCATCCTTTGTCTTCTAATAACTACCAGTTATACATAGGATATAGTAACCAGCCTTCTCTGTTACCTCTATCGCTACCGTCTACCGGCTACCGGCTCTCAACGCCGCGTGATCCTCGTCATCAGCAGCGACAGCTTCGTCATCATGGATGTCGCAGACTCTCCCAATTCTAGCAAGGTTGGAAAGCTCATCCCCAAGAAGTTAGCAACAAAACGATGGAAGAAGCAACCTTCGAAAGAGAGTTTCGGTTCGACAGCTAGTAGCGAAGACTATTCTCGAGGAAGAAGCACAAGCAGTCTTGGCTTGAAGGACGGCTCTTTCTCAGCTTCAACTACCCAAGTCAACGAGATGGCAGAAAACGACCAAGATGGAAGGGAGGAACCTGAAGAAAGTCCTGAAGCCTATTATTCTGACCCTGAAGATGCGTATGTATTTTTATTTTTATTTTATTTTATTTCATCTTATTCTTCTTCTTCATCTACTCGCTCCATTTACATTGTACAACCTCCCTTGGTTTCATTATATGTCCATCGTCATATCATATTATTACCTAGTTATTTATTTCTTGACGTTTACATTTCCCCCCTCTGCAACTCTGTTTCTCGTAGTTAAATAAGCTACGAATCCCTTTACCTACCCTACCCCTTTTGCTCGGCCAAGCTGGTCATCCAATCCAGGTTCGACTACGGTTGGGATAAAAGGTAATTTATTCAACTTTGGGCATATGAGAGAATATTAAGAATAGTCATCATCCTTGGCGGCTGTAAGCTGAGCACTGAGCAGTTCAGGTGGTGTTAGTCGACTCCGCCTTGAGGGATCTAATCAATTATTATTATTATTAGTTTCAACACCTCTTTCGCATCTCGCATCTCACATCTCGCATCTTGTACCCATCTCGTATTCTCTTCTCATTCGCTCTACCAACCCTTGTAACCCTGTTCGTTACTTTTCGTCATACCTACCTATCCTATCATTCATTCTTCCTCCTTTATTTTCAAAGTACATACACTACCTACTTTTTTTTCGGCTTCACCGTTTAATTCTACCGACGTTGTAGAGTTATTGGCTTATTGCCCACTTATTAGTGTTGGTGGAGCGGTCATCGAATCTAGCAACCAAGCAACCAACGGACTTTTATTGACCTAATCATTCTTCTTATAGGTCTGCGACTCGGCCCACGGTCCCTTCAACACATCCGTCCCAAATTGGGCACTTGACAACCTCGTCACCCTTAATCCAGGCCGATCATCTTCCCGAAATACAGAATCAGAGCACTGACGATCTAAACCACATTTCACGATCTGCCACCTTCGCCGTTACTCCTATCCCTAGCTTTTCCTTCGAGCCGGCTCGTCAATTATCTCATACCAAGACTGGCTTACAGCTACCCCAAGCTTCGAGCCGGTCGAAATCGCCTACTAGTAGATTTAGGGAGGCATTCAGGGGCAAGAGAAGCGCGAGTGGTGTGCAGGAATTTCATAGCGACAGTCGGACAGACCTTACTGATAACGAGGAGGTGAAGACGTCGTCCCGGAGGTCGACCGCCGGTTCTACTTCTCGTCCGGGATCGAGCACGGCTTCACAGTCCGATACCAATGACAAAAAGGTAGCTTCCGCACGTCCAGGTCCATCAAAGAACCCGCCATCCGTAGATACTTCAGGTCGCCCTCTCACGCCGCCGTCGATCGAACCTGCAGCTCCAGTTATTGTCAATACACCGCCGACCCCGACCGAAAGCCATCGCTCGAGGAAGAACTCAGCAGCTAGCGCGAGCTCGGTCCCAAATGTGGTTGTCCAGCCTCCGAGTAGTATGATAGCGCACCGACGAAAGAGATCAGGATCAAGCACAAGCATTGGCCCAAGCAAGCTATCTAACATAACGTTGGCTCCTCTAACACCCACACCCGAAAACCCACCACTGACTCCCGGAGGCGGTTTTTTCTCGAGCATGCTATCTGCCGCACAAAACGCTGCCAACACTTTAAGCACCGCTGTCACCAACACTAATATAGGATCCGGTGGAAACAAGGCCAAATCGAACGTCCCTAGAGAGACGCAGCCGGGTAACGACGATAGGGTAGAAGTCGAGACGCCTGTTGGACAGTTGGAGAATACTAATATGGGTGATAAGGAACCTGCCGTAAAAACCCTCGGAATGGGCGATCTAAGTCTAAGCCAGCTGGGAATCCAGGAACCTGGAAGCACCGCGCCTACTCCGACCACTAACAAATTCTCCGACTCTACCACCGAACCAAGGGCACGTTCCGAATCTGCACCCGTGGATAATGCGACCGCATCTGCCAATGGAGATGGCCACTCCGACGACCTGGCGCCAGGAGGACCGCGATCCGTTTACGAGCCATCCGCTACGTCCCCCCCAACCAGTTTATATGAAGGTAAGTCAGGTCTTCAACGTAGTGGTAGCATTAAGAGTGCTCTGGCCCGGACAAGACGGAAACGCGGTAGTACCGGAGGAACCGCTGGAACCGCTGGAACCGGAACCACGATTGGTGCGGCCATCGCAGCAGCTAATGCCTCTGTAGCGCAACCTTCGGCCGCCGGTAGTACCCCAAAGCTCACAGGGTTTGCTGTAGCGAGTAAGAAACGCAACCGGGATTTTCACGTCTTGTTCAAGAGTGTCCCCGATGACGACTATCTCATTGAAGATTACAGCTGTGCTCTTCAACGCGAGATCCTCGCACACGGCAGACTCTACGTTTCGGAAGGCCACCTATGTTTCAGCAGTAATATCTTCGGATGGGTAACGACCCTGGTTATAAGCTTTGACGAGATTGTATCCGTCGAAAAGAGGAGCACCGCTCTCGTCTTCAGGAACGGCCTGATGATCTCGACACTTCATGCTAAGCATGTATTCGCTAGCTTTACTAGTCGAGACTCAACTTACGATTTGATTGTTAACATCTGGAAGCTTGGACACCCTACCCTGCAGAGTTCGCTTAATGGGGTTTCGCTGGAGGGAACAGGTGGCGATAAAACAGAAAAGGTTGAAGAAGTCGATGCTGCAGTCGGAAGCCGAAGCGGCACGGGATCTGAAGAAGACGATAGTGAAGATGGGGAGGATGTCTACGACGAAGACCAGGACGACGACGCGCTCGAGGTAGCAAAGACCACCGACGCAAGCCCAGCCGACACGGATGGCGAAAAATCCGGCGCTAGGAAGGTATCCGGTGCAGTTGCCGGCAACGGCGCTGTTGATAAGACGGACTTTGCGCCTACACCTTCCGGACCCCCCGATTTCCCAGGACCGGCTACTCACGCACCGACGGATTGCGGCGATACAGATGCTCACTACGAAGTAGTTGTCGGCGACGATATTATCCCTGCCCCTCTAGGAAAGGTTTACACTTTAATATTTGGACCTGCGTCCCCAGCGTGGATGGGAAAGTGGCTCACGGGCGAACAAAAGTGCACTGACTTGCAGATGGAAGACAAGAAGGGACTGACCCAAGACAATAAGAGCCGAGGATTTACTTACATCAAACCGCTATACGCATCGATAGGACCCAAGCAGACCAAGTGCTTAGTAACCGAGACGCTGGAGAACCTCGATCTTGAAAAGAGCGTCAACGTATTGGTTGTTGTGCAGAACCCGGACGTACCTAGCGGCAACATATTTAGTGTAAAAACCAAATACTGTCTCTCCTGGGCCGAGAACAACTCAACTCACGTAAACATCAACTGTACTATCGAGTGGACCGGGAAGAGTTGGCTAAAAGGTAAGACTGCGGGACTTTTTCTCTAGTCTAATTGTCAAATACTAACATTCGCAGGACCTATCGAGAAAGGGGCTAAAGAGGGCCAAACCCAGTATTGCAAAGATCTCTTCGCCGCACTAAAAGGAGCAGTTTCTACCGCGCCTCGTTCCGCAGCTGTCAATGGCGGAGCGGTAAAGGGCAAGAAAAAGCGAGCTAAGGGCAAGTTGCACCAAGCTTCTAAGGAAAGCCTATCCGGTCCATCGGATTTGGTAGCGACGAAATCCCAAGACTGGGGCGTGTTTGAGCCGCTCCACGGTATCCTCGGCCCCGTATTGGACATTCTCGGACCGGTACTTACCGGCAACGTTGTGTACGGACTACTTGTCGGGCTGCTAGTAGCGACATGGTTTGGTTTCGGATTCAATGGTCAACCGAGGGTTGCGCCGTACGGCCGTGAGTTGGGCTTCATAGGATATCCGGACCGCGTCGTCGCGTACGATGAGATTTGGAGGCGAGAGGAAAGCGATCTATGGGACTGGTTGGAAGATAGGGTAGGCCTCCATCGCATGAACGAAGGAGCGATGCCCGTACGCAAACGGGTAATGGAACCACGAACAGTCGAAGAAAAGTTGCGCGAGGAGCGCATGAACGAGCGAGAAGTCGAAGAAGCTATCAAGGTGACGGAGGAGAAGTTACAGGTGCTAAAGTCGGTCATGGACCGAAAAAAGGCACCTTCGAAATCTAGCGTTTATGGTAGACCAACTACCAAAGTACCAGGGACTGAGAGGTAGCGATAAGAAAGAAAAGGGGAAGAGGAAGAGGAAGAACAACCAGCGAGTTTACTACAGACATTATCATCATCATACAACAACAGCAAAAGCTACGACAGCCGATTCCATATGTCAGCGACCATAGCATGCACGACGCCACGACGAAGCACATTGATTTTTATTATGTAACTCATAGCCTGTATTGTACATTTGAAAGTGTCAATTTTGCAGCTTCGTCTAGGTGTCCAGGGCGTAGGGGCTTTTCGGGATTTAGCTATTTTAGACCATCTATTTTGTAATATAAAAGAGACAGCATTGCAACTTCGGGAGGGGTCTGTTTATAGAAGAAGGGTGATAGGATTGTGATATATAGTCTATATTTTGGTTATATTGATGGACAGATGGATTGTTTGAATTGTGATGCTTCCAATGTATAAAATGAAGCTGTACGGAATACTTGACTACCTAGGTACGTACCTCTTACCGTAGATAACCGATAAATGTGGATACCACTTAACGCGTACCAGGGAAGCTGCAAAGCTGCAAGGCATCAAAAACGCGTCTTCAATCGCGGGGTCCAACTTTCAAAAGATTGCCAAGTACAAAAGTTACAAGGACTTACCACTTCCAACCATTATAACATTACACTACAGCCTAGTTGATTCTGCACGATGGACGACGAAGATATATCCCACCCTTACGATAATAGCCACCGCGCGTTCCTACAGGCCTTCATGGCCCGCGGTACCATGACGTTCAGCCAAGCACAACCCATCCTCGCCGCTATATTCACAGTCCACGATCAAGACGAGTACAAAAACGGGAATAGCGATGAGGAGCCTGAAGTGACACGACCGGAACAGGTCACACGCGAAGACTTCGAGTCGTACGTATCGGCTGTGTCGGCGGCTATCTCCCCCTTCGACATGGAAATCCGATCGACCACGCACCAAGTCTCCAAAGAGCGCGTGTATTCCCTCATCAACACAACCTCGGACCCCATGACGCAGCTCGCCACGCTGCGCTCAGCCGAAGAGATGGCGTTTGTAAGGAGGGTCATCGACGCCATGTTCGACCGGTATAACTCCCCTAGAATGGAAGTCCTATGTCTAGACGGCATGCAAGCTAATAAGCTGCGAACGGCGCCGCGCAACGAGGACGAGGAAAACGGCAACGGCAACGGCGGCAACGGAGCGGGAGAAAATGCAGGTGGTGGTGGTGGTCTGAAGGGCCTCAAGAGCAGCGAGGTGGAACAGGTGCTGCGCGGCCTCGTCGACGAGGGGTGGTTCGAGCGCAGCCGCGCGGGCTTCTACTCGCTCTCGGCGCGCGCGCTGACGGAGCTCCGGCAGTGGCTGGTGGACGCGTACAACGACGCCGAGGCGGGCGAGGGCGAGTGGCAGCGCGTCAAGTTCTGCGAGGCGTGCCGGGAGATCGTGACGGTGGGGCAGCGGTGCGCGGAGCGCGACTGCTGCGTCCGCCTGCACGATATCTGCCAGGAGGCGTTCTGGCGCACGCGCAAGGAGCGCGCGTGTCCGCGGTGCGGGACGGGGTGGACGGGGAGGAACTTTGTGGGGGAGAAGGCGGTTACGGAGACGGAGGCGTATCAGAGGGGTAGGAGACGGAGTGGTAGGGGGGGTGGGAGGAGTAGTCTTATGGAGGATATTGTGGATGGGGAGGAGGAGGAGGAGTGAGAGGGTCTGTTCTGGGCTGTCTTACAGTTGTACTCAACCTCTTCTTCTTTGGGAGTGGTGGTGAGTTACGGTATTACCTACTAAGTCATGCCCTTTTACTGTACTTTTATATCGGTCTAGAACCGCGGTTTAGAGAACAAAAGGGAAAGGGAAATCAAATGGACATAAAAAACGGAGGTGTTAGATTAGATACCCTTGGACTTGTTCCCCTGAAAATGGAATTACTATGTAGGTATGTTTATGGGATATCGTTTGCTTAATCATAATAGTCTTGTTTCTCAAATATGACCTTGTGATTATTTTATTATCAAGTTAATTGTAAGGAAATATCCAAAACTCTTGTGGGATTTCTCTTCAGCGAGGCCGCCTATGAGCAGTGTATACGTAGGTACCTTAGGTAAAGGTCTATAGAGCTCTCGCCACAGCTAATTGTGGCTGTGCAATGATATCATCCTAAGCCAAGACTTCGGTACTTACATAAAGCTTCCCTTGCCCCTGAGTACCCAAGGTACATACGCATCTTACATCGCAACGTATCAGCCAATCGTTTATGATCTGACCTACAAAGATAAAACAGGCTTGGAGGTATTAAGTTGCCCTTCTGCAGCAATTGGAGGCCAATTCATCTTTTATCTTTTTTTTCTCTCTTTATTTCCTATTCTTCTCACTTCGAGGAATATATTTTATCTCAAACATTTTCATACCTCATACACACTAAATAGTATAAGCCACCAAGATAAGATGCTCGAGTTCTTTACACCTAAGAAACTAAAGAAAACACAGGATGAGAAGGCCGAGAAGCAGAAATTAGAAAAGGGCAAGGGAAAGGAGGAAAAGCATAAGAGTGATGCTGCTGTCAAACCCGGCACCGATGATGCTGTTCACTCCGAGTCTCCAAGCTCGCCTGAGATAATCTTGGAGCGTACTGAGGGTATGCCTATTCTCGACCCAGAGGATGAGAAGTTCCTCGAGCGCCTGACCTCCCCGTCAGATAGCGGCATTAGTATCGGCGACGGCGACGAAACGCCACCACCTCTGCCACCGCGCGTCAAGACGCCTGTCATCGAGCTAGACAGCGACGTTTCTAGTGTCGCTAGCAAGGATGAGAGCAAGCAGGATGTCCCTACTAAGGATGGCGATGGAGGCAAGGGCAAAGGCAAAGGCAAAGATAAGGAGAAGCATAAGGGCAAGGACAAGGACAAGGACAAGGACAAGCACGACGGCGATAAGCCCGATCACAAGCCTAATCGCTTCTCCTTCGTCACCTCCCTCACGCGCAACATCTCCCTCAAGCGCAAACCCACCCAGCACCTCTCCGTACCCCCTTCTTCCTCTACCCCCACATCTACATCCCCCTCCCCCTCCGAGCGCGAAGTCAACAAAGAAGAAACCGACATCGCCCGCGTCCTCGAGGACCTCAACCTCGCCGCCTCCACCGACAACAAAGCCTTCAGCCTCTCGCGCGAATCCGCCGAGACCCTGCGCCGATTCACCCAAGTCCTCAAGGACCTCGTCAACGGCGTGCCCACCGCCTACGCCGACCTCGTCGGCCTCATCGAGGACCGCGACGGCGTCCTCGCCAAGTCCTACGACAAGCTCCCCTCCAGCCTCAAGAAGCTCGTCGCCCAGCTTCCCGAAAAACTCACCTCGTCGCTGGCCCCCGAGCTCCTGGCCGTCGCCGCCGAGGCGCAGGGGTTGAAGGGCGCCGAGGCCATGGGTGTTGCCGAGGTGGTGGGTAAGAAGGCTGCGGTGAAGAAGTTGCTCGGCACGAGTAATCTCCTGGAACTGGTGACGAAGCCGGGGGCGGTGGTGGGCTTGCTCAAGGGCATTGTGAACGTGTTGAAGACGCGGTGGCCGGCGTTTGTGGGCACGAATGTGCTGTGGAGCGTTGCTGTGTTTTTGTTGCTGTCCGCGCTGTGGTATTGCTATAAGAGGGGGCGGGAGACGAGGTTGGAGAGGGAGGCTAGTGAGACGGGGGTGGAGGGAGAGGGAGAGGTGGGACCGGAAGTGCTGGTGGAGGGAACGAAGGAGGGCGGGAATGGGGGGGATGTACCCCGTATTGAAGGAGTGCCGGATCAGCAACAGCAACAGCAGCAGCAGCCGACGGTATCGGTATCTGCCCCGGCATCTTAAGGGGGCAAGAAAAGCGGTGATGAGTAGGTGATACTGCTATCATCTTTCTATTCAAAAAGAGTCGCTAGAGGAAAAAGAAAAAAAAGGGGGGCGAAGGGGGGGAGAGGATTGCTATGAGGACACGAAAGCAAACTACACAACACGACAGGATGGACTACACGAGTTACGATAGACAGGTACATGATGGAGATAGATACCCGGTTTGGTCGATATGTATAGGTACCTATACATCTAGGAGTAGGAATATCGGTCTAGGACGTCGCGGTTTGGTTTAGTTTGCGCGGGGGGGGGGGATGGTTATTATGTATGTAGATACGAGTAATGGTAATACGAATAGAATATACATACATAGTCTCATCACAGGCAGTCTTGTATAATCTAATACCCAGTCGTAGTCGTAGTCGAATAGGGGAGGGGAACCCCAGGATAGATACAACCAACTTCCCCTACAAACACAATACTATACCAGTCAGTCAGTCAGTCAGCTACATCCTTCATAACCAGCGCCGTGCATAAGAAATGTATCGTATCGGGAAACTGTTTAAACCAGACGAATCCGAATCAAATTACAACTGGGGTATTTCCCTTAATCCATAGGCCTCGCCTAGCTTATCTGCATCTAAGCATCCACGTGAAAACAACAGGCGAAATCCTTCGCATATGCTCCTCTTCCTCTGCTAATCTCTCCGCGGGACGAAGCTCCTTTCTCAGCCCGATATCTAGGAGGGCTTCTTACCACGCAGCCGTGCCGACAGCTTAGCTACCCACCTAAGGTAGGTAGGTAGGTAGCCACACGAGCCTACGCTCCACAGGCCAAGGTCAAGACCCAGGATAGACTAGCCGCTTCTCTCTGAACGAATTCATACGTCAACGCCCTCATATCATCTAGGCATCTCACCCCTCCCTCGTACTCAACCCGTAAAATGGGCCTAATCAATTAAACCGCGACGACCTAAGAGAAGCCCGGCGACCAACAACAGGAACCGCGGAGCCGCGCCGCAACGCATGCTAGTCGTCCTGGACGAGCTCCTTGATCTCCTCTCTACCGGGGGCAATCCCCGCCGTAGTCTCGGCCTTGGCATCCCTACCTCCAGTGCGGTCAATAACGCGGGCGCCGTCCCGCATCCAGAAGTCGACTTCGTCCACTATATCCGCAACCACGTCCTCGACAATCTGCTCATCGTAGCGCTCCGCCACAGGCCGGATCTTATCCAAGAATCCTTTCGACGGCGTTGAGGGAACTGCTACCGTAACGGTGTCCGCGTCTATCATGTCCACGTCGCCGTCCCCGTCGGAATCGAGGAACCCGGGAGGCGGATACCAGAACTGCGGGCCGAAGTTGACTTCGGCGGCACCGCCCCGGAACACGCTGACTGCAGGATAGTACCCTGCCATGCCATCGTCCATGCCCTCGCGGGCACCAACCTGGACCTGGGGTTTGGAGGCCGGGGGCAGGAAGGCGAGCAAGTCAGTAAAGGGAGTACCTATGAGCACACCGTTCTTGTATATGCGAATGCAGGAATTAGGTAGCGTACGTAGAGCCGGGACCTGGTGGTTTGGATTAGGCCTATCGGGAGGTCTACTACCGATAGTGCCCGAGGGTCCCGCAGGCGACGGGTTCATGAGGTCCTCAAGCTCCTTGGTCGTGTGGTAGTCGATTTTCTCCAAGTAGATGTGTTGCTTAAAGCGGATCGGTATCCGGTCTCGGACGATGTTGGCCGCCTCCATAATCGGATCTTCCTCGTCGAGTAAGTCTACGGCTGGATTGTATTGGCCTCGGACGACTTTCCTGTGAAGATGCTCCGACGGCAGCTGGATCTCGAGTCCAATCACGTCGCCCTCCTTAATTTCTTCGCCGGGCGGGAAGAAGTCTTTGGGCCGTGACATATGAACCTTCTGGCCCTGCACGTCTCTAATACCATAGCTGTAGGCGTCGAATCCGACCGGCGCGTCTAGCGAAGCTTCCCGTCTCGCGAATCCCATACGCACGTGGCCGTGTGATTCGACGCTTCCATCCGCATTGCTCTTGATAGTACCTCTCGTAATCTTGCATTCCCAATACCAACGGCCCTGGCGCACGGCAACATTCGCTCTCGCCGTCCTAAATCCCTTGTCTGTCGTTATGTGCCGCCCCGATTGGTCCATGTACATGTGCGTAGCAGCATCTTCGAAGCTGATGTGGGCGCCGTAGGGTTCGGGTTCGGTCTGTCGGTAGTAGAATGAGGAAGGAAAAGCTGGGTCGGCTATGCAGTGTAGGTAATGGAAGCTTTTCTTGTTGAAAACACTACGCGTAGGTTAGCAGAGGGTAGGAACTGCGCAGTATGGAATGCGACTTACTGTTCGGAGGTCTCGTAGAATTGGATGATAGAACCATCCGGGGCGGGGACTTCGTGATGGGGAGTAAATACTGGGCCTCGGGCGGTTTCGAAATCAGAAAGCCGTGGAGGTGCTAGTTTGTAACGTAAAGGCGAAGACTCATTCGGAGGGAGTTCCTTGATCTTAGGATCGGGTGTAGCTCTAGAGCTGTCGGCACCTGGTCCAACTTTGGACTCTCGCTTCTTCAGGGTATCTTTTTTATTTCTAGCAGGTTTCTCACGCGCCATAGCGAGTACGTCGTCATGCGACTGGGACTTATTAGGTTTTAGGTCGGGATTGGGGTTAAGAGGGGAGGAAACGGGGGGCGCGTAGTCGTCTTCGAGAGGTCGTTTCTGGGGAACGGAGATTGGGAGAACAGGAATGGGTACGGGTGTAATTTGCCTTTTTGGCAGATCCACGTCGGTAGCCATGGCGATTATAAAAGGGGATTAATTGAATTAAATAGGTAGGTATCTAAGTAGTTACTCTAGGCCCTTTGAACAAAGTATGGTGTGGTGCGATACAAGTGCTAGGATCAAGACGAGAATAGCATTTGGAAGAATTTGGTGGAGTTTGTTTAAGTGATCGAAACCTTGCTGCGGCTCTAAACTTTAACGTCCCAGGTAGGTACCTACACAGATTACACCTACCTAATACATATAATATAGGCATATCAGATATCCGATCCTTCCTGATCTTTTAGCCTTGCATTTGCATATCTATCTACAATTAGATACAATACCTGTCGGCCACTAATTTAAGTTCCGACTTTCTATTGTCAAATAAAGAATTAAGAAAATACATAGAACCATTTAATACTGGACATTTAAACATCTTAACTAGCTGCGACTTTGTATAGTGGGCCACATTAGTAGCTGCACTGTTCTTGACAATGGAAAGGAATCAACATCAGCAGTCTTCGAACTTAAGGTTGGGATGCAATGCATTGAAGTATTTAAAATCAGGCATCAAAAGGATATAAGATGCTGACATCAAAACTAATATTGGAAATATTTTTCCATTTCGCATCTTCTAAATACCTATGCACCTATTGTCCCATTAATTCTGCATTACTTGGGCACCTACCTCCTATGTTCAAAATAGAGCACGAACAGAAACAATCATAGAGGGAGCATTGACCCTTCGCCGGGACATAGCATGAACCGTCTTACAAAAGTTTGTCGCATTGGTTCTCAATGCAAGCAAGCAAGCTATACAAACAAAAATGTAAACAGCAAGTTGGAAAAAAAAAACATAACTTGCAAAAATAAATGAAATAAAAAAGATATTGAAAAATTGCAAAAAATAATGCGACCACCACGGGACTCGAACCCGCAACCTCAGTCTTTCACTGCCTAAAGATGACGATAGACGTTACTTTTAGGAGGACCGCGCGCTACCATTGCGCCAAGCAGTCGTCTGTTCGTAGGCTCAACAGATGGAATTGTGCCACGACGCGACTTGTTCGCATGAAAACTCGGTCGGTTATTTAGTGTTATATCCGCTAGAGGAAAGGGCCGCTCAATCGTTGCGGGGCAGGTTGTTAGTGTAAGACATGATTTGAAGAACGAATGTATTGGGGTTGGTTGGTTGCGTCATTCACTTTAGGCTTTAGCGACTGGAAACCGCTGTCTGAATTTTAGAGGGGAAGGACAAATCCCTTCAGCCCATGTATTGTACAATACATGTAGTTACTGCAGTGCGGAGTAAGCTCATATCATATTTGGAGTATGCTGCAACTTGTATGATGCCATGAACATTAAAATTAAAGTATTCAATTTGATTGCTGAGATTTCAAAGGTTTTGCTTTTTGTAATTTAGCAAAAGGTACCTGATACAATATATTTTGAAGCTTAGGATTTAAATGTATATAATCATAGCAGCTTCATACGCTGTTGATTGCAGCAACACCAAGAGTACTATCTCTAAATCAAATAGCTACTCACCTTAAAAGTCGAGTATATTCTCACCAACAAACCCGAGAACCGACTATTTATGCGGTCTGCTGCCAACCGCCTACCCGCCTGGCTTAATGGAGACCTGTAATTAGACTTAAATAAGACGGGTTGCATCTCAGACTTTCATCTTACACGTAAGACACTTCAACTTAATCTACTTCGGATATATTACCGTTTATCTTATTCGCTTCAGGACTCGGTTCGTCCCAGAACGTCACGCATGTAGCAACCGCATAATCTCCATCATGGCTGATACTGATGCGCCCATACATATCCTCCGTACCGTGACCCTTGATAACGGCTATAGGGCGGCCAGTTTGTCTCAATGATCTTATTTCCTGGGAGCCTAAAGGCGAGATGTCTTGCGCTTTTGGCGACTCAACCAGCTGATGTTCGTAGGTAATTACGATATCGTGAAAGCTGACCCTGCGAGCACTGCAGGATTTTATAACTGCTTCCTTTGCGGCCCATCTGATATTTATATGTAAGTCAATTTCATCGAAGCAAGCTCTTGTACAGTACTATACCGACCTTCCAGCCATAAACCTAGCCGCAGTCGCTACTGCAGGAATCTCTTCCTCGATGTTTCCATTTGGGAACAGCTCAGACTCCGGGAGGTTCCGGCGCGAGTAGATGGGTTCGAGCACATGAGACGCTTCTCGAACGGAGTTTATCTCGTCTTTAGTGAGGACGCGACGAATGAAATTAGAGCCTTTTTTCTGGGCTATTATTTTATAAATCCTGGAGATCTGGCATATATCAGTGCCGACACCGAATGAAAATGGAAATTTCCTTAAGGACGCCATGGTGCATCGACCGCTGCTAATCCGTGAGATGACGGAAAGATGGGATTTTATTATATAAAAAAGGGACCAAGAAGATGACCTAATCTTATCGCCGATTTACAGTAAAAACCCCAAATGGTTCAATTATTCTTATCCCATGCCCCACATGTATTTCTAACCATCAATGTAATGATTGATGTGATATAAATCAAGACCTCATTTTTAGCTACGGGATACTATGACTGATGACTGACGTGATGAAAAAATTATTAATTTAGTGCCAATTATTTAAACATCTCGCTCTCCGTATCCAATCTAATACCAACGCCGTCGCACCAATCAGATTTTGAAAAGAAATGCTCAAAATGATAGGATACGACATCACATTTTCTTCGTATGAGCAGAGTTATTCATTGGCACAAACCCTTTCAACAACCAGCGCATTACTCATGAGGAGTAATTCTCACCAAGGAGCGGAGCTCGTTCGGTATCACCATTGCGCGCCGACGTGTATTTAGCAGGCACAGCAACTACAATAGTTGCCACGAAGAGAATTGCCATAATAATGAAGGCGAATATCCACTGGAACGCAATAACCTGTCGCAGGAACTGAGACACGCCAATCGCTGCTGCTAGGACGCTCAGGTTGAAGCCCATGGTGTAATCCTAGCGAATGTTAGAATCCAGTACACAGACTAGGTAGGAAATATACCGGTAAAACTCACCTTGTAGATAACAATATAAAACAGGCCGTACACCAGGATCGACCAGATAAAGATGTTACCAAAGATACGCGCAACAAACGAATCCGGGTGAGGAACCATGATCGCGCCGTTCCAGTAAATCGCGACGAACGTCCACGCCAGCGGCCCCGAGACCACGGGGTAGTGGATGAAGCGAGCGTACCCGTGATGGCGGAAGTACAGCGAAGTCAGATTAATGAAGTTGAGAATGATGAACAGCTCGGCCCAGCCGAACAGCGAGCGCACGAAGGTCATCACGAAGGCGAAGTGTAACAGGTTATTCAAGATGAAGTGGCTTCCCACCGAGCATGCTTCGTTCACACGCTCGACGGTGCCGGAGAAAAGGTGAGCGATGTAGACGCCCTGAAGAACGAATAGTACTATCCTGTGATATGTTAGATTTGACTGCCTTATGATGGAGAGTGTGTATATGGCCGTGCCTTACCAATAGATGCTAGCGATAATATGGTTCATCCGGAACGCCGTGTGATACGCATAGTTCTGGTGCCATATTTTCCGGCGAGGCCAGACGCCGTCCTGGGGTGAATTGAAGGTATAGTAGATTGAGACGATGAGTGATAACAACCAAGTGACGATTGTCAATATCTTGTCTGCTACGGGTTAGAATTATGCTTCCTACCTATCTCGCCCTCGCTTGCAAGGGAAAGTGAGTATCAAGACGGATATGAGTTATGACATACTGTAAGCAAGTTAGCATCATTCATGTATATCGCACGAGATCGTACGAGCCCAGGATAACTCTATATAAGACGTCGTTACACATACCAAGTAATGATAGTATTCTTCGTGTGAGTATCGCGCTTTGCGAACGGGTTTACTAATGGGCAAATTAGTATAAATTCCAACGCCTTCATTCATGTGCCCCCAATCCAAAAGTGAAGTGTTCACATAATAACATACTATGATGAATCCGCTCCATCGTGACTGTAGCTTTAGCTTACGACCGGCTCGTATAAGTACCTAAGGCAGGCAAGGCGAGTAAATAAGAGACGACGGTTTGCGAATTTTTGCTATCCGGAACACTACAGCCAAAATCCCGAAAATATTCTTACTATTAGGAATTATACAAGTAAGAACAGCAGCAGCAGGAGATTTAAAGAAAAAGGGAGGACTCAATGGAGTTTTAAACTACGGACAAGTCGACGTACAAAGTACCTGATAGGCTGATAGGTACGCCTTCGAGGTCTAGGCTAAGCTTGGATGACGATGGTAGGGTTCCCTTTTTCATGCAGGAAGGGATTATATGCGGGGAAGGCTGGCGGGTGCGAGAAAGTGGTGACGTTGATAGACGCGAGTACCTGAAGAACTAAGAACCTATCATAAACACGTCTATCTCATCTGTATGAAATCTGCCGTCCAATACTCGCCGAGTCCTCCATGTATCACTGAAGGCAGGATTTTCGCACCCTCCTTGCATCTGCGAGCATGAAACACGACGCGCGAACGACCTATAAGAAACGGATTACCTGATCTTCTCGCGTGGGCTGGACGAATAGTTGCTCTGGGAATAACTGCTAGGACGGGGGATGTGTGGTATATTATGGCATTTACAATTATGTATTTGGTTAGTACTTAAATATGTACATGCAAGTTATATAAGTACCTACATAAGTAGAGGGTTCAAACGGATTCTCTATGTACATACATGACCTAGGTATTTCGTGACTGAATGGTAAATTGATCAATGTATTAGGTAAGAATGGAGGATGGGATGCTACCCGAAGCTGTACATACATACTGTGCCTCTCAAAGAATCTATGACGCTGCATCGCCAGACGCACGGATTACGAACCGTAGACGTAATGCCTTGTAAGACGATCGAGATGGGTTCCTGTCACGGGGTAATTAAGGCTGGAAGTAGTTAGACGTGGCTGCAGGATTGGCATTGTGTAGATCGTCTACATAGGACGAGAGAGGCTTTGTTTGGATGTCCTATGCATGCATAGATCTATACACTAGGTTAGGTACCTAGTTATTCGGACTTTCCTACATAGATGATAGATTAAGCGAGTCGTTAAGTGAGTTCAGACGATTCACTTCCTAATCGCACCTCTAAATGATAATAGTACTTATTCCTATAACGGTAAGAAGAAATAATGCGAATACAAAGTTCTCTTAGCACAGGGAGCATTTAGTCCGGCTTAGACGATGAAAGACAGGCAAAGTTCCAATCCTGCGTTGTGCAACGCGGGCAGGCAACAATTACTTAACAAAAGACGGGCTTGGCTCTGGGATAGAAGCTTGATCGGGCAAGCTAAGTAGGTTCTATTGGTCGGAGCCAATAAGCTGCGGGGTGAGGCGAGACACTGTCGCATCACGATCCTTGCCCCGGGGCTTTTATCGTGGTAAGGATTTACTTATTTTCCTGCCGTGGCCTGCGTGGCGGTAGATATTATGGTCACGGGGACTTTTTATTGTTGTCTTAAAGACGTCAGTTTAACTAGGGATGAATGAATTGAGAATATGTTTTCTCCTTTTCAACGTAGAGTGTTGAATTAGGCGTTGTATCATGAGTACGGTAACTGCTTCGGAATATGATCAAAACGATACTCTGGTCTATCAGTATCGCATCATATACGAGGTGCCGTTGTTTTCACTCGTGTGATAAAGAATAAGAAAAGTAATGCGCTCAGTATTCCATCTACTTGCACCTATATCTCTTAAATGACCACATTGGCTACCAATTCACGCTTGGCGTAAATCACTTACTCCTATGAGAATGCTGGTGATGTGAATAAATAGCCTATATTCAGTCCTATTTTTTGCTAATATGAGATATTCAAGTTACGAATGGCGGGAACTTACTATTGGTGTTTCCTATAACGACTGGCATACCTACACTCCTAGGCTTAGGTAGTAGCACTGGCTACCGCACGAATACAGGGGTTTCTACGGATAGCTTCGAGCGTTTTAGTAAGACGCAATCAAACAAAGCTGCTGAGAATGGTAACAGTACCATGCATGGGGTCTACTTCTGTCAGGATTCCAGATGAGATATCTAGAATAAAGGATGCATTCAGTATATATGAGCCACAGACTCGTCGGATAGTATAGAGTTCCTCACGGAACAGCGAAGTTGTTGCCATATTGGCTGGTTCCACCTCATGAAAACTTCGTGAAGATTAAGTGTTCTCGAATGAAAAATAAAAGTAGTGTGACATGTAGTGCGGTTTGGGCCTACATTCATACGTAAATGAAACCTGTTCTACGAGTTTATGCTACGAGTCTTATAGTTAATATTTGACCTACGGCGCCTGTTCATAGCCCGTGGGTGCCTGCCCTACGTGAGTTTAAGGCTTTGAGGTGGAAAGGGGTCGTGAGGTCAAGCTTATAAATACTAGAATCCTAGCAAGACACATGCTTTCTTCGCGACTTTTACACCTGCGGGCACGCTTGCCAGTTCCAAAATCCTGGGGATAAATGTATAGCAAGAAATGAATCACATTAATAACTCGTAAAGACTAGGTAGGTATCTTGCGTGAGCCAACACGTAGTTGGGAAAAACTAAGAGCATCGTATACTTGGAAGCTCCCTTGAGAAAAGCCAACACCGAAGAGACTGAAACGCGCAACGGATACAGCCCGTGTTGTGATAGCGCCACCAACGATTCCGCTGATATATCAATAATACACAACTAAAGACATACTTAAGACGCCGAGCGCCAATACGAGCGTTGTTATGATATCAACAGGAATAGAGATCAAGGCGCAGCTAAAACTACGTTGTAAATACCAAAGCAGTAACTAAAGCGTCTGGTAATAGCACTATGACAAGAGACAATGCCTATATACACTTGACCTTATGTATGAAGTATGATTATATCAATTGAAGATATACGACTGAATCTTAAAATATCCGTGAAACTAAAGGGACAGACAGTATCGGGGTGTCGCAAGAACTTAGCCAATCCCGACAATTAGCAATGTCAAGGCGGCATAACCTAAGGTCTCTTATATGTTACGTTCGCAAGCGACTACCTAGGTCGACGATATTTTGAGCATATTATATTACTATTTCGATATACCTACCTGTAGACACCACATGAGATAGACAAGTTACCCAAATAGTTATGTGTAGTAGGATGTCCGGATAAACTTGTAACTAATAAATTGTATGTTGTCAACCAGGCGACCATGCGGCCTAATTTTACTTGCACCGGAACAGGAGCTTTACGATTTCCTGTGTCTAGCTATTATTCGTTAGGTTCAACCACGTCTGAGGAATCTCTTACCTGGACACCTGCGCTACACCGCATTAATAACTTATCGAGAGCTGAATTAGGATAAGTAGACCAATAATTTTAAGCAACGGCCGAATATCAGATGTCCCTAACGTTGGAGCGTAAATAGTGACTAGGAATATACTATGTTTTCCCTAGCTAACATCGTCGAGAAAAATTGGATAAGTTGATGAAGAGAGCTTGTATAGCAACCATAGTCTGTCGGTCGATTTCAAGATATCGAGAGTTTCAGGGTGCAAGATAGACCTTAGGTCTATTCCTATATTATTCTAGATCCACCACCGTAATTGGTGAAAAAGGATTCGTAACAGGGGGTTGGTAGAAGGGGCTTGTTGCACTGCCGAAGACTTATGCGAATAAAAAATACAATACTGCCTATTCATTTTATAACGATGTATTCGAGGACGTCAACAACCCTGATGGCAGTCATGCACTAAGGAACATGAGCGGACGTTGAAGATTCAGAGTATATTGATTGTATTCTGTCTACGTATTCCCAGCCCCATTTTCTTGCCAATACCGGCTCCCCGATAATAATACTACTACTTGCATACCATGATACGCAGAACATGGAGGGTATAAATGAACAGTTCTATCTCGGAGCCGCTAGAGTATGAGTTGGGCAGTTTGTACAGATCCGACACGACATGCTTAAATATCTACCCAAAGTCGTACATCTACAGAGGCCTGTTTTTACCGTTTGTGACGTGAGACACGGTCCCTCAAAATTAATCACCGGTGTGATGCAAAATGCATATGCACCCTCGAAAACTCCATCGGGCTTTACCCCTACCCCAAGATTGACTGCTGGTCGGCTGCGTTGAACGAGTGTGACGAGGGGTAGGTGGCTTTAAACCCGAGATCGATCAATGATTTTACATATGATGGTATCGGTACCAAAGATACAGGTAAATTCTCAAGGTTATTCGACAATTCTGTAAGTTGCAGGCGTGAACCGTCTCGGCACTTGAATCGTTTATCGTGTTGTAAAATCCATGGTGCTTAAATTCTCATAGCGTCCGACGTCTCATCGAACCACGTTTCTCTTTCCAGGGAACCGTAGTCGGCGGAAGAAGCAGCAGTACGTAAGTCAGGTAAGCCAGGTACCTAGGCTTTCAGTAGGGATTCACCCCTTTGGTGGGGCTTCGGTGGGCCGGTTCTTTTGGTTAGACCCGAACCTTTCAAGTCCCTTTCCTCAGTTATTCTAGTAAAAAAAAAGAAATGAAGAGTCGCCACTTCTTTTAAAGTCAGGAAATATGCCTTGGGATGCTCTGATGTTTAATACCCTTGTTTTGAAGAACTAGTCTTCGCGGTATTCTTCTAGAAGCCGAATTTCTAGGTTGAATTTGTGCTGAGAGCTTAACCTATATTAGGTAGAGAATGGATTTGGGGAAAGTGAAGGAAAGCAGGGAAAAGCAGTGCAAAGCAGGCCCCCCGATTACGTACCGGCATTCGTGTCGGAACTAACCTTAACCAATCACAAAGGGTTGTATTAGTTATCGCCTGACCTGTCCTTCCATTTCAGTCTTCGCAATGATAAGGGAAACTGCAAGTGATTCTGTCTCCGGCGATCGGCAGCGCAACCGACGGTATTCATCTGTGAAGGAAAAGCGGAGTTGGAAGGCCACAATACCCCAAGGTCCCGGAGAGCTTCTGACACCGCTGGTTTCCTCCCGTACCTTTATAAACCAAACAGCGATCATCTTCATTCACCTAGAACCCTAGAACCCTAGAACCCCTTCATCCGAAAGCATCCTAATTCCATACCTAGTATCATACCTAGATAAAATAATTCATCCTAGGAAATCCGAACTAAATCGTCGCAATGGATCGCTTCGAGCAACTTGTCCAATCCATCAAGGAGGAATTGGGACCGTCCTCCGGGTTGACTTCTGACGATGTAAACGTGGACCACCTAACACATATGATGGATCGATACATCTCCAACGAAAAGGAGTGGTCCAAGTATGCATTGGCAGACGCCAATATGGCATATACCCGAAATCTCGTTGACGAGGGGAACGGCAACGCAAACCTGGTAAGCCGTAGCGCCTTGCCTCTGGCCGGATTGCCAGATATCCATAAGAAGTTGTACTGACCAAGCCAGCTCGTGCTAGTTTGGACGCCAGGGAAGGGTAGTCCGATTCACGACCACGGCAAGGCTCATTGCCTGATGAAGATCCTCCGCGGCAACCTCACCGAAACTCGATACGACTTTCCCGACGGCGATGATAAGAAGCCGATGCAGGTCAAGTCAGAAACAGTGCGTAAGCAGAATGCTGTGGCCTATATGGCGGACGAACTTGGACTGCATCGCATGTCCAACGAGGGTAGCGACTACGCCGTCTCCCTACACCGTAGGTCCCCCTTTCGAGCAAGATACTTGGTGCCACTTGGCTGATGTTGATAGTATACACCCCGCCGAATGTGGCCAAGAACGGCTGCAACATCTTCGACGCTAAGACGGGAAAGATGACGCATATTTCCAAGTGCGGCCACTATTCAGAGCACGGGAAACGAGTGCAGGACTAGAACACTTGTAAGCTATCATGATATTATGAAGTAGGTGTATGGAGTTTTTGGGAAGGCTCTGGGGTCATGGTTTGGTTGTTTTCCCAGACGAAGCGAGATTGGTTTCTCGTCAACTTGACGGAGATTTTGGTTATCCGTAGATTGTTGTCACATAGAACTTGGTTCCGTCGATAAAGGGATCTAAAGTACCTAGGCACCTTAGGTTCTTTAAAGCGAGTAATAAAAAGCGTTGGATGACAATAAATCAAACTTGCGTTTCTATCAGTTCGAAATCCGAGAGACTAGTTAAGAGATTAAACGAGGTGAAGTTGAAAAAGAAGAGAAGTCGTGCTTTTGCGGCTCTTTTCGCAATATCAGTATTATTCTATCATGTTGATTTGGCCTAGCTCGGATTGCACCATCGCCATGTTCTTTCATTCGTCGGGTGTTGATGATGAGACCTTCACTTTGCCGTACCGTTTATTTACTGTGCTGGGAACTGTGCCGATATCCGTTGTACAACGCACACGACATCCGCAAAGAAATAGATGGCTTGCATGGTACATAAATACCTACAACTTACAACATTTTAATTCGATTTTTATTTTCGATGTACCAAAAACCGAGAACTCTATTTTTAAGAGTCTTATTTCGATCAAGTCTTGTGTAATAGGTACAATTAGAACACTACGATGCAGCGAAATGGTATACCGAACCGAAGTTCTCCTTTTCTACTGTAGGAATGGCTAATTTTTATGGAAAGCCTTATGTAGGTAAGTACAATGTACATGCATATCCGTCCTCTCGTTGGCCAATTGATCCGGAATAGGTAGGTGAAGCCAAAACGGAACATCCAGACCTAAATAGATTATCAAACAACCTGAAGGAACCTTAAGAAGGTTCAAGGGTTGTCATTGCTGTCTGTTCATGAGATCTTCATGAAACCTGCAACTACCTGATCACCATATATACGTCATAGCTGCAGGGGCCCTTCGATGAGAGTTGTCACGTGAGTACGAGATGCTTAGTTTCGCAAGACTTTAGGGCAGTCGCGTTTGTAGTTTACTGTTTTCCGTTTGCGCGACAAAAATAATAATATCATTCCGTAAATTCCAAATTCTTTTTCGTGTTCTTTGGAAAGAGCAATCAATTGTAAGACATATTGATGTGACCTAGCTGAGACAGGTTAAACCATATTCGGTCTTCAGACTTGGATTGAATTTATTTGACAAGAACGACTTACAAGGTCGTTAGTTTTAGCCACGATGGCCCCGGCAAAGCGTCGTCCTACTACGCATCCGACAGGAGAACCTCAATCCAAATCTGTCCGCCATAACTATGGAACTTCTGCACAATCCTCAAGCCAAGCTACTGGTTCACGGAGTTCCCAAGCTTCTTATCCTCCTCCCTCAGCTCCTCCATCCTCTCTTGGCCACGCTAATCGGCCCCCACCGAGAACATCGTGGATTGTGATTGATGATGACGATGAGGATGGTGTTCCCGATCCGAGTCAAAACAATGAAGATCCTGCTTCTTCATATGAGCTCTACGGAACTTTAGACAACAAAATCGTAGGCGTTCGATATTACAACGGAGTTGTAAATCCCGGCGAGAAGGTCCTCTGCAACCGTGACCCCGGCAACCCCTATGACAAAAATGCCATCCGCGTTGATAATGCCATGCGGGATCAGATTGGGCACGTGCCTGCTATAGTTGCTGCAAAGATTGCACCGTATATCGACAGAGGCGATATCATCCTAGAAGGTGTTATCACAGGCGAGAAGGAAACCTTTACTTGTCCTGTTCGTCTAATCTTTTACGGCACTAGCGACCCTACAAGGCGTCTTCAGTTAGAGGAGAAGTTGAAAGCAGATAGACTTTTGAAAGCTACACAGCTGAAGACTACTAGGCAGGAGGCGGAAGCCCAAAGGAATGCCGCCATGCGTCTAAGATGCAACGCATCCACTGTGGGCTTGGGGGGTGAAGGTGAAGATGGAGAGCAGCAACAGTCGCTCCAAGAGTTGGCGGCGGACAGCGAAGCTGTGCAATTCAGAGGTGACCTCAGTTCCGTTGACATGTTTGCAATGGACGAAGACTCTCTTTCTAAACTACCTATGGCTGCTCAGCCTACAACCGTCGAGTCAACACTACTACCGTACCAGCTCCAAGTAAGACGCCTCAACTTCGTATTTCATGTTTACTATACTAACAGTTATTACAGGGACTAGCTTGGATGATAGCCAAAGAGAATCCACAACTTCCCGCCATAGGATCAAAGGAAGTTGTTCAGTTGTGGAAGCGCCATAGTAATGGGATGTTCCTCAACCTGGTGTCTAACCATATTACAAACACACCACCAAAATTAGTCTCGGGTGGTGTGCTTGCCGACGACATGGGCCTGGGAAAGACTCTCCAGGTCATCAGCTTGATTATGACGAGCGGTTTCGGTGAGGGCCCAACCCTAATTGTTGCACCGGTGAGTGTCATGAGCAACTGGGAGCAGCAGTTCGAACGACACGTAAAGGAGGATCAACGCCCCCGTATCTTTAGATACCATAAAGCCGGTACATATTCCAAGAACGACCTGCTGAACCATGACGTCGTTATCACAACCTATGATAAACTGCGCAACGATCTGACTAGTAAGGGAATATTGTTTTCGGTAGAATGGCGTCGGATTGTCCTAGATGAAGCCCACGCCATCAGGAACTTTTCAACCTCCAGGGCCAAGGCTGCATTCCAGCTAAATGCCAAATCTCGTTGGATGTTGACTGGCACACCAATGTAAGTCCATTTCGATACATTGGCTTATTTTTAATTGTTTGGGCAGCGACGCTAACCTATCCCTCGTAGCGTCAACTCGCCCAAGGACTTCTTATCGGCTCTGAAGTTCCTAAGAATGACCGGAGGCATCGAAGAGACTACATTCTTCGTAAACTTAATCGACAAGCCTCTATCGAATGGCGAAGAAGGCGGGAAGAGCGATAAATTTAAGGTCGCCAAACAGCTATTCCAGTCGTTAACCAAAGATCTGTGTATTCGTCGGAGGAAGGATATGAAGTTCGTTGATTTGAAACTGCCTCCTAAAACCGAATATATCCATCGCATCAAATTTAGAGATGATGAGAGGGTTAGATATGATGCTTTATTGTAAGGATCAAAATCTATTCTCAAGCCACTTACATAATCGCTAACAGTAGGCTATTAGTTCGGAAACTACGGAAGTGTTAGAAGCGTATCGCCGTAGAAGGGAAGGTCAAAACAATCGGGAAGGTCCCCAGATACGATTCACGAGTGTCCTAGAGAAACTCCTACGCCTTCGGCAACTGTAAGTGCCAACTATACTGTCTTGAACATATTACTTGAGCATATTACTTGAGCATATTACTATAGTGAGATCACCCCAGTCCGTTCTAGCTAACCACTGGGTTATAGATGCTGCCATTGGACGTTGTGTGGAGGTCGGGTGAAGGATGTCTTGAGACCTCTCGAAAGCAAGAAAATTGTCGAATTCACTCCGGAAAACCTCCAGATTCTGCAGCAGGCTCTTCTAACTGCCAATAATGAAGGCGAAGAATGCCCGATCTGTACAGATGCAATCAGCATCCATGAGCCCGTCATCACGGCGTGCAAGCACCGTTTCGGAAAGCCTTGCATTGCGAGGGCCCTCGAAAGAGACACCAGGTGCCCAATGTGCCGCCAACCGTTGACTTTAGAAGCTATCGTCGGGCTCGAACCGGTGAACGTTGAAAATAGATTTGACGGTGACACACGGAGCTCGAAGACGGAAGCTCTGGAGAAGATCTTGAAAGCAAGGCTCGAGGATCCAAAATCCAAGGTTGTTGTATTCTCGCAATGGACTTCCTTCCTCGAAGTTATCTCAAAGTTGTTAGATGAGACCGGATACAAATACTGCCGCCTTGAGGGCTGGATGACGGCGACTCGGCGCGATCAATCGATAGAAGCTTTGAATAACGACCCGAGCACGCGTATCATGCTCGCCAGTCTAGCTGCAAGCGGCGTCGGCTTGAATCTGGTAGCTGCTGATACGGTTATACTTGTAGACTCTTGTAAGTTCACCTCGCAGACGCCTTATGAAGTTCGTTCTACTAACCGCAAAACAGGGTGGGCACCGGCTATCGAGGATCAAGCCATCGACCGCGTGCATCGCCTCGGCCAAACGCGCGAGACGACCGTCTGGAAGCTAGTCATGGAAGATAGCGTTGAGGAACGAGTTCTCAACATCCAAGCTAGAAAACGGGAGCTAGTCAACCTAGCTTTCCAAGACAAGGCCAGGGAACAAAAGGAAACAGGTCGCCTAGACGATGTTCGACAATTACTTTCGTAGGAGTGCTTTCAGTTTCACCTATGGTAGGATAAGCCAAATCATTACATGGAACCGTAAATACGTTTGGCAATGGTTGTGGAACGGAAAATGGATGGACGGGTCAAATCTAGAGAGTGCGCATTGCTGCAAAGCAGGATTGTTGTTTTGCTATTGTACTACAGGGGCTTTGGTCTAGCTCAGCTATACGATAGATTCAGATTGGAGCCTACCTAGATCTATAGCTGAATCTATTTCAATTCCTCATTTCAATTCCCTCATATCGTTAAACTTGGAGAGCTATTATCAACAATTTCTATAGGCGAGGTTAAGTTTGGCTGAGAAATCCGGAGTAAACCTCCGAATGTATACCTGTCTTGAAGGGTTAACGTTACATACCTCTAAAGTCCTAAAGTAAGTAAATACGATGACACATCGTAATAGCTTGCTTTTTCGCTGGCCAGCCTAAGTAGCAGGCAGAACGAGCGGTGACCGGCGAGCCAATGTTGGGGCGAGTGATGAATGCACGATACCAAGGGAAAATACGAGGTCGACTGCATATCACGAACCATAAGGTATCTTTGTATCAATTCCATACCAATCCACTAACAGCAGACGTCTTTACATACATACCTTAGGTAATGTACAGAACAAGAAAGAAGAAGAGCCTCGTAGTTAGCGAAACTCGTAGCATACCTCATGTTGCGAAGCAAGCTGACTCAGACGGATAAATTGGATTTGCTTTTCTTATTTTTTCATCGCCGTACATAGGTACATACAGATGAGGAGAGTATGTATGTTGTCATCGTACATGGGCCCAATAATACATACATTAGGTAGAGAGTCGGCGTGGGTACGGGTAGAGGACGATGTGTAGGTATATGTGTATGTGGCGGGCCGTGTTTGTCGTCGGATGCGAGGCGGCGTACATAAGTGCTAACTTACATAGAAGGGGATTATACTAGGTTACATACATCGTACCTAATTGCGGGGAGCTATGTAGGTATGTATGTCTGTCTCTATCCATTGCCTGAAGTCTTTGAGACCGGGAGAAGCCGGGGGAGCATGGGCCAGGGTTACATCGACCGGAGTACGGGGTCGAGAGAGCCCCTTCGAGAACATCGGGTCATCATCATAGACGCCATGCCATGCCATGCCATGCTATGCGTTCTTATGTAGTGTAGGTATATATGAGGTATGTATTTATTTCTGCCCCTCCATATATACACTACATACGATGTCGCATAGGGCTTTTAGGCAGGACTATTGTATGCGAGGTGGTAAGGCTGACCTGACCTGACCTGACCAGACCTGGCCTGGCCTGGCCTTACCCCTCGTCGAATATAACCCCTGGTGGTTAAAGCTGGGCTTTTAGTCTCGCAAATTGCAACATCATGTTGCCATCATGCCATGTTTTTATTTGTTTCTTTTTTCTCAGCTCGCGCGGGGAAGAATGCGATTCGGCTGAGCAGGTTTACATAGTGTAGAAGAGACGTTGATATAATAGGCTTGGTTATAGGCTATTACTATATTAATATTACATACACCTCAGGATTGGCCACTTAGTTAGTTAGTTAGTTGTAGTCCAAGATCTAAGATGCATTTTACGAAAAATAGTGTAGCTTTACGGGAGCTTCGGCATCGACTACCGAAGGAGCGCGATATACATACCTAGGTACATACATACATACTAACATATCTCATAAGTTGGGCGATTTGTAGATATCTGCGTGGCCTCGTGATACCCCATACCCGTAACTCGTAACTCGTAATGATCGTGTTGAGAAGAATACCTACGTACCATTACATATGTCAACATTACATACGATAGAGCCGTAGCAATGTCTTGCGACTATGTATATGCGGTCGATGGTCATATGAATACCTACCTATGTAATTCAACCTGAATAAGGCGGACAAACTGAATCCGGTCGGGTGCCAAGGTAAGCCCAATTCATCGCGGGCGTCTCGTTACCTACGTCTCGTGAGAAGGTCTCCCAAAGGCCGTGTATATAAATAAGAGTCGCCTCATCGACCTCATGGAAGAATCTTTCATCCTCACCACGATCAACTTATACATATACCTAGGTATCTACCTACGACAATATATAGATCGAATAATCTATAATCACTAATCAACCAACCAATCACCATGTACGCCATCACCACCATCGTCTCCGTCCTGGCCCTCGCCGCCAACCAAGTCCTCGCCTTTCCCGCCGAGCTGTTTCCCCGCCAGGGTTACGTTGCAAACTGTGCGTGATATCCTTTTATTTTATTACCTACCCTTCCTCCGTCTTTATACCTACCTACCTAAGTCAGTAAGTAACTAATACGTACATCCCCGCATCTCAGGCAAGACGACCTACTCCGTCGTATCCGGCGATACCTGCAACGCCATCATCAGCAAGTTCAACAACACCTTTACTCTGGACCAATTGTAAGCCCCTACCCCTCTCCCCCTTTCCCCCTTTCCCCTTTCTCTCATCCTCCCACCCACCCCACTAACCCCCTCCTCCCCCCCAGCTACGCCATGAACCCCCAAGTCGCCAAAGACTGCTCCAACCTGTACCCGGGCGAGCAAGTCTGCGTCGCCCTCTCCACCGAGCCCGTGTGCCCGGCTCCCACGCCCGCCGGCCTCGCCGCCAACTGCGACGCCTGCTACCACGTCGTCGAGGGCGACAACTGCTGGACCATCACCCAGGCCTATGGCATCTCCCTCGACGACTTCCGCAAGTGGAACCCCAGCATCGACGCCTCGTGCTCCAACCTCCAGCTCGGCTACAACTACTGCGTTGGCGTCAGCGCTTGAAAGCTACCTGAGTAATAGAGATAGGTAGATGGTGAAGCGTAGCCGAGGTTTCGAGAGGAAGTCGAGTTACCTATGAGTTATGAGAAAAGAGCTTAGGAATGAGTGAATGAATGGCTTTTACGACGATTTTATGAATGAATACTACTTTAGCTTAGTTTAACAGTCTTTTAATTTCAATAATTCTTACTTTGGGCCCAATATTATAAGAGCTTCTCCCATAACTTCACATGAACCTGTCACAGTAGAGATGGTGCAATAATAGCTTCGCTCATTTAGTAATAATATTTGTAGCTATCACCCTAGTTCAGTTGTGATATGAATACTACGCTAGCTATCTGTAAAGACCGTGATGTCGGAACATAGAGTAAAAAGTCCACGCTCGTCTCACAAGTTGAGTTAAATAGGGGGCGTAACCACGGCCATAGCCGTAAACCCCACATCAGAAGTAGAATCGTCTCGTAATACATGGGAGTATCACTAGAGGTTAAACGAGCCCAAAATGAAAAAAGTGAATGGGGGACCCAGAGTTAAAACTATCAAGTCCGTCCCAAAGTGTCATCCACCCCTTTACGCAGATCCTCTAAATTCTGGCCCAGCGCAGGCTGACCGCAACCACGATAACGGGCAGCACGCTAACCAACTCCCCAAGTCCGGCGAATTCGGGCGGGATACGCACATTCTCACCTGCATTTACGAACGCTCCGGCCGCGAGCATGATCGCGAACACGTTGTATACGAAGCTCCAGCCGAAGTTGAAGGCGACGCGGCGCACGGCGGCTCGTGACACGTCTATCATGGCGAGCACGCCGCCGAGCGAGGGCCGCATCAGTACGACGTCAGCTGCCGACTGCGCCACATCCGTGCCCGAGTTGACATGCACGCCGATCGTAGCCTGGGCTAGAGCCACGGCGTCGTTTGTCCCATCCCCCACAAATACGACCACTGGCTGCCTCTTATTGTCTGCCACTTCCTGGTTTCCAAGCAGCTTTTGGATGTACGCACGCTTGTCAGCTGGAGAGCATCGAGATAGAGCGTTCTCTACGGGAATTCCTAGCGAAGAAGCTACGGCTTGGACGGCGCCGTCGTCATCGCCACTTAGCATCGACACGGTTATTTTTCTTCTCTGTAGCTCTGCGATAGTTTGTGCTGCATCTTGTCGGATAGTATCGGCCAGCCCAAAAACAGCCTGGAGTTCCGACCCGATGGTTACGCAGAAGGCAGTGTGACCTTTTGCTAGTACGGCTTGCACGCGGAGGTCAGACCCCGTACCAAGCCAGCGGGAGTTGCCAGCCTGGATGGAAAGTCCATCGATGTAACCTTGCACCCCTTTTCCGGGGAGAGACTCAACCCCGTCGACCTTGACAGCAATAACTTCCTGGCCTTTCAGGTGAGTCGTGATGGCGGACGAGACCGGGTGGTTAACGTCTGCTAATAAACCCAAGATCTTCGAGGCGACGGCATGTTGCGCTCCTAGCAGATACTCCTCGCTCGCAACAGATAGCTTTCCTTCAGTCAACGTACCAGTTTTGTCGAAAACGACATGTGAAGCCTTGTGAGCGATTTCTATAGTTTCGCTTGCCTTGTAAACTAGGCCTTTCTCTGCAGCAACACCGCACGCGATTACAATGACCATAGGAACTGCTAGGCCAATAGCACATGGGCATGAGACAATAAGTACCGTGATGCCGTATGTTATTGCCTGTGTCACAGCCTCGCTTCCCGATTTTCCTTGGTTGCGAATTCCTACGCCAACCCAAGCAATGAATGTAATTAAAGTCAGGGAAATAACTACCGGGACAAAGTATGAAGCGACCCGATCAGCAAGGTCTTGGATCTTGGGCTTTGACAGCTTAGCATCATCGACCATCGCTGCAATGGTGCTGATGGTATTCTGCCCTGGTAATTTCGTAAGGCGTACTGTAACAGTTCCGTTACCATTTAGTGACCCAGCAAGAATTGTCGAACCCGGCTTCTTCTCAATGAGGCGTGATTCACCCGTTAGCATTGATTCATCTACTTCCGTCGTACCGGAGACAATGATGCCGTCCGTAGGCGCCTGAGTATGAGGAATGACCTTGAATACGTCGCCATACTGAAGCAGTCTAGTGTCGATTTCGGTTTCGGCACCATTGTCTGAAATTAGAATTGCAGTAGAAGCTTGTAAAGATCGAATAGAGATACTCTCGACGGCTTTCTGGCGAGCAAGGGCGCTGACCCACCGCCCTACCATAATCAGGGTAACCAACAAGGTACTCGTTTGAAAGAAGTTACCCGTCGATAATGGCTGCCCGCTAACCAGATAACCGAATGAAACGACTGAAAATATGTATGCCGCAGTGGTACTCAAGACTATTAGCAGATCCATTTCGACCACTCTCGAAAACACCAAACTCTTTAGAGCCTTCGGGTAGAATGGACCTGCGATGAAGATCTGAACAATGGTCGCTAGGGCTAGGGAAACACCGCCATATGTGACCGGACGCTCTTCTAACGGGGCCCATGCTAACACCAACACAGGTATAGTGAGAAGTGCCGAAGCCAAGGTCGTCCAGCCCATATATCGAACATGTTTGCTTCCCGCAACAATCGATGGGTCAGCCTGCGGAGAGGCGAGAGTAACCGGAGTCTGAAACGTTTTATTAATTAGGTCGCGGGCCCCAATGACCTCTGGCTCGAACGTAATACGAACGGTGCGCTCATCGATGAGATCCACGTTTTCTACACCTAGAGGCATGGACTGCTGGATAAATTGTTTGGCTCCTCCTCTGGGAATGATGTCCACTGTGGAACCGTGGGTTGCCATCCTCTCGCACTTGAACTCGGTCGTTCTCTCGATATGCTTGACGATATCCTCTGGCGTGGCTAAACTGAAGTCTAGTTGAAATTCAACCCTGGCCATAACGAGGCTCGTCTTGAGATTCTTCACAGCATCAACTCTGCTTAGTGTTTGCTGTAGTTTAGTTTCGCAGCCCGTACACGTCATTCCGGTGATATTGAGCACGACACGCTCGGAGCCAGAGAGGCCTTTCTCAAGGTCAGTAGTCACAACATCTTGGCTCCCATTCGTCCTTAGAGTATGTTCAATAACAATGTCTTTATCTCGCCGACAGCAAGTCCCTTTAGGACTCGGACTTTTAGAGCAACAGCTAGGCTCTTTAGCAGGTTCAGCCGTGGAAAAATCATTTGCTCCCTTACAACAACCCTTGCTACAAGACGTACCGCCTCGAGTTTTCGAGGTTGAGGGTTTACGCACCGGAGACGTCGAACAACATTTTCCCGCTGCTTTTGGCTCGCAAGTTGAGGCTTGTTTCTCCTGGGATTTAGGACGAGCGGTTCTCTTAGGTCCGCGCTTCCTTTCCTCCGAGGAAACATCACGAGCCATACAACATGACTCTTGACCTAGGGCGATGAGTGCTCTGCACAAACACCCGAGGGCCTCGAGTCTGATTTCGTATTTCTCGCGAATTGACTCTTCTTTAGCGGGGGATGGGCTGCGGCTAGAGCTTGAAGCTGCACCATCACCTAAACTTAGGTCAAAATGTATTTCTCAGGAGGAGGGTTGGCTATACTGACCTTGCCCCCTTTCAATGGCAGTCTCTCGGATTACGAGACGGTCGATACATGTTTCTTAGCGGCATTAGTTAATTCTTTTTGCTAGTATGGCTTGGTGAAATTCTAAAAGACTTACTGTCGCAGCATGGCCTCTGTTTGCCCTCACAGCAAGATGGCTCGACAGTGTCGGGATTCGTAGTCGAGCAACAGGCATCTTTGCAGGTATCCTGTGGAAGATCGTTCGGTGGTTCACTACGAATATTATCGACTTCTTCCTCGGCATCGCAGCAGGAGTCCTGACAACATTCATCGACGACGGTTTCTACAGGTTTGCAGCAACTGTCCTCCATGCCTTGTCCAGCTTTAGAAGCGCAGCAGCTAACTGAACCCGCGGGAGCCGTATTTGCTGCTTTGGATACACAGCAGTCATCAACCTTTTCCTTGGGTTTGCAACAGGCATCTCGGCAATCATCGAGGGAACTTGGCTTTTCAGGCTTGCAGCAATCGTCATCGGGCTCAGAAGCACTGCCGGGAGCTTCACAGGCGACGGCGCTGCAGTTTTCGCTCTCTGGAACCTGTGGTTTACAACAATCATCCGCTTCTTCGGCTTCCACGATCTTGTCGCCACCACAGCATCCCGAACTACAACCAACGTCCTTCACCTTCGGAGGCGGAGGGGGAGGAGGAGAAGCGCTACAACAACCAGCAGTGCAACCTTTCTTCTTTGGTTCGCTCATTCTGCTCGTCTTCGCATTGACCACTTAGGGAATGGAAATATTTGGAAGAAATGCTCAATTGATGTTGTATGTATGTGCTTTTATTGGCGGTGAAACAAGGATGAAAGATGAAAGATGAAACAGAAAGGAAATTTTATTCTTAAGAATAACTACAAACTTCCGATTGTCGGTTGCGTGCTTCGGCAGTAGCGAGGGGTAACGGAGCACGGGTGTACCGCCGGCAAGCTCTGACCTTCCACTCTCCCTTGCCGGAAAGCGGGCAACCTTATCGTTGATTGCTACGGCGGAAGGAGGTATGCATCAGTTTGCCTTAGGGGTAGTATAGCACTACCCATGGGCTATAGTAGGGAGTTGGTTCAGGGGTTACTGGAGACACTATCCTCCGAACTCGGCTGTTTTCAGCTGCCAGTTAACTTAGCAACTGCGAACACTTCGGTCACTTATACCATGTCCATCTGCTTGCAGCTGAGCAGTCAATTCACTTCCTCGACTCACAAATTTCACGATATGAGATTTGGTTCATATGGATGTGACATTTATATACGAGCATTGAAATGAAACTCATTTGAAATATTGACTCAAAATGAGAGCTCAGTATATAGGTATTCACATGAGCTTAAATCAACTCTCAAATAAATATAATTTCACTCATCGTGAGAAGCTAGATTTTACAATCCATCTATCTCATATGAAGACCCTCTCAGAAACTACCTACCTACGTATACCACGGCCTCAGTTGTAAGTACATTTCACATCAAGCTTTGCAATCACCGACTTGTAAGCGTCGTCAACTTTTGCCCCAACAAGCTTCAATAAATCCAAGTAAAACATGAGTTATCCGCAGACCAAAATAGAAACTCTTAAACTTACCAAAATTCAAGTTTATTTACCGTTTCGATTCCTATTCCAAACGGTTGAACGTGAAGCATCCCGATCGAAGTATCTCCAAGTACTCTTCAAACAACGAACGTAGTTACCTGTTACTAAAGAAAGGCGGCGTCGCCGTTTCAATAGTTCGATCCTCAATCCTCCAACATCAATAACTATGACTTACACCTCTGACAAGGTGATCACGAGGTAGCTTTCGTCCTTCTTTCTCTCGTGATCTTATGCGTACATTCGACCTCCTTCACGCTCCAAGTCTGACGAGCTCACCGTGACAATGACACCCAAGTATGGAATATTGAAGTCTGCGGTATGACGAAGCAATGGCGCTTCATTTTCGAAATTTGGCACTGTAGTAGGCCACGAATGGCTAACCCTCACATGCAAATGCAAGGCTGCCGGCAGTCCAACCCGCCGCATTAGACGCGACCACAGCGCGGGCTCGAAGGGAACCGCCCTACAAGTCCACCGTAGCACGGCTACCTTAGGTAGGTAGGTAGGTAGGTACCCATCGAGAAACGACCGCGGGGTCTGCAAGCCCGTAGCATCGATCGCCCCAAGCGGCGTCGTCTCTTCAACATGCGGTGTGATTCGAGGCGTGTGCTGCATGCGCAACCACAAGCGCTGTCCAGACGAACAAGCGGGGACCGTCGTATGTGATGCCATTACAAAATTCCCTTTCGACCGAACCCTACCTCACCTCACCTGTCCAGCCCGAGGTGAGCGAACCGCTGCTTTAGGTGTGGATGTGTGTGGGAGGGAAGAGGCAAAAAAACAAAAAAAAAAACAAAAATGAGGCTATCGTAATATCATCATCCCATATCCAAGTCATCATCGCCGTTCAGATCTCTCGTCATCTCGGGGTTCAAGTTACACTGCGCCCACCCAAGCGCGCGATGCCCCAAAAGGATCTATCAAACTTAAGTAACATGGGTGAGAGGTTAGGGTTAGCTGGAAATGGTCATCCGGCAGTTGGATGCGAGACAAGCTGGAGAAGGGTTACGCTCGAGGGGCTGAAAGGGGGCATGATCGGCAATATAGGATTGAGTCTGATGTAAGTTCGGTATTTCGCAATAGCTATTCGGGTTAGGCACCGGTAGGCTCATATAGGGCGCATATAGCCAGCGGGAGGCTTAATAGGTATAGTTACCACTGTGGCGGGACCAATGAGGATTGCTCGTCATTCGACTATTTCTAATTTGGTGGTTATAAAATGCAAGTCTAAGTCAGGGTTTCTTGTCAGCACTTTACTTCTCCTGATGAACCCGCCACATTTAGATATTGGTCCAGGGTTTATTATGTAGTGGAGGTAGAGCTTGCTAAGCCAGTTGGAAAAGGCATATCACGATTGAAAGCGACGGCGAGGTTTGTGATGAATGAAGCATTCAGGAGACTCTAAATCATCCTCCATGCTTATATTTTCTGCTCGATTGTATGTAAAATATATTGTAAATAGCCTGCTGTGCTCCTTACTTTCCTATCGCCCCTTTTTAACAAGTATTCGAAATAAGCAGTAGACCTCAACACTGATTTCCTCTCCGCCATATATATAGCAACAATAAGTAGTATCTAGACAACAGCCCCCATCGTACGCCAGCTCGCAACGGTATTCCACATCGCCTGCTCCAAAAAAATCATTGCTCCTCGAGACGCCCGCGAAATTAAAAATCCTAATAGGGTATTGTCTACCTGCGCGTTGATCGAAACCCATCTTGGGTGTGTCAGTCAAGCGAAAGACGAACAGTAATCCGGACCGTCTCTCCTCCTCCCCTCCGGTCTGTTCCCCTTTCCGCCCCGGGGTATCAGTTGTATTGCCAAATCCAAGCCCAACGCATTAGCCGTGGTCATTACATTAAAAAAAAGAAACTGTTTGGAGTACACCGTTTGGAGGTTCTACTGGTAGAACCTTATTGCCTGTAGGGATAAATGCAAATGCTGATAATTTGACAATTAGACGAGTGACGTAGAACATTGGTGGTACACAGGACCTCAGTCGTACGAGGTCGGTCACTGAAGTTTAGCTTGGTGAGTGAAGCTTCAAGACGCTTGGAACTTCATCGGGTATAAAGGTGTTAGATAATGTTGGTGAATTCCAGTATGGTTGGTTCGCTATGATGAAGAAATAATTCACTTCTCCTGATGGCTAGTATAATCTTGGGGAGTCATGTTCTGAGTAAATTGGATTAACCTTGACCTGGATTGGTTGGGAGAAGTCTTCGAGTTGACAGATTCATTAGCATCCCAGTCGAATTGGGTGTTCCCCGCCGCGTGCTGAGCGTATGTATTTTGTTCTTGAATGGAACCCATCATATTCGGATACATGGGGGTCGCGGGGAGACCGTCGCTCAGCTCGGCGTAGCAAGGAACATTTTGCATGCTGAGGTCGGGAAACTCGGTCTCGAAAGGTGTAAAAATTGGTTGATCGGAGGGAAAGTTCATTCTGTGGTTGAATAGATTCTCGTGGTAGTTCGGGTTGCCGAATTGAGCCAATACGCTTGGAGTATCTGGCGGAGTCTTGAGGTTAGACTCGTTGACAGGAAGGTTATTACCCAGTGCGTACTGGTACTCGGGGCGTCGGGCTTCCCGAATTTCCTGTTTGTCAACAACTGCAGGGGTCATCGGAGTTGGAGGAGCGGCCCCGGGAAACATCGAAGAGACCGATATTACTGGAGAACGATTCTGAAATTGCATCATTAAGGCTTCTGCATTACGGTTCACGAACATGGGTGAACGTGATCCCGAACTGGGCTTCTGGATTCTCCCATGATTGCCAGTGCCCGAAGCGATCCGCCGTATTGCTGAGCCGGGGCTCGAAGGGTCTAGTGGCATTTTAGGCGCATAGCCAAGATTGTACGAGCGGCTTCTAAGCGAAGACGTTTGAAGAGTTGCTGGCCGCGGGATGTTTCGGCGGGAAGCAATATTAGCGGGAGGCGGGGGTGACTTGAAAGAGTCGGTAGGAGTTGGTATTCCTTGAGGCATTAACGGTGAAGTTCGTCTCTCACTCATAGGCGTGCTTTCACCATAGTCCTGCAACGATTCCATGGCATTGCTGGCTAGTCCGGGAGTGGTGAAAGTTGGTTGCGATTGGGTAAACGGTGTTACAGTTGGGGTCAAGTCTGCTTCTAATATTGCAGGGTACTGTTGACCAGAGCGTTCAGCACCAGCACACTGCTCATTAGGCGACGGCAGGCTATTAGCCAAGCTTGTCAGCTGTTCGCTTCGATCAGAATATTCGACACTGCAAGGAGTAAAGTCCGTCATGGGTGAGGAATGATGGTAATTTTGATGGGGATGAGTATGAGTGAATTCTGCCACACCAGAATGCGAAAAATCGAATGGCAATGGAGACTGGAAGTTGCTAGGCGTGTTGCCTTGAAGGCTGCCAGATGGGTCCTGTCCAGAAGGCGAATCGATTGTGTCGGGTGAGCCATCTTCAGTGTCTTCGTCGTCGGAGTCGTCTTCAACCTTCAGAGGAATCGAGCTGATGTCAGGGAAAAGCGCGGAAGAAGGTTGTACGCGCTGTCGGGCACTCTCGCCTGCCTGGTCTGACGAGCTGCCTTGCGAGCTTGCATCGGGTGAGTCTGGCTCGGAGCTAGCCTTCTCTTTCGCTCTTTGCTCCTCATACTCTTGCTGCTTCTTTTCTTGCTTTGCCTTAGCACGCCTGTTTTGAAACCAATTCTACCAGTACCAGTTAGTAATATGAACCAGAAGGCGTGGCGGTATATCAAATACATTAATTCTTGGTCTCTCCAAGCCAAGTGAGTCGGCCAGTTGCGCCTTAACCGAGCTTGAAGGTTTCGAGTTTTCTCTGAATACCTTCTCGAGTTTCTCGACCTCTTCTTTAGATAACCGGGGCTTGGATTCCGCTTTAGGATCAGCCAATACACCTCGATCGGCGATAAGATGGTTCCGAGGCGGTTGGTAGCCATACATGTACTGAAACCCAGGGTAGCCAGTATTATGGTACGGGTTATCGTTGTATTGCATGGTGTTTCCCTGAGGGAAACTATAGACCGGATGAAAATCCGGATGAGTGTGATAGTGCATTTTATATCTGTCTTGGGTAGTCACCGGATAGGCCAGAGTGGGCTATTTATTAAACATGTGAAAATAATCGAAACTGTGAAGGAAAGTAGTTCGGATCTGTTGTCGATTCTCAAGCTGTTGATTATGAAAAATTGCAATCGAAATATTAGACGTAAGGTCGCTGCCCTGTGAAAGGGAGGTAATGATATATATATATATATATATATATACTATGAGGCTTTGCCGAGAGTTGAAATTTTGTCTATAAGGAATGACTGGGGGTTAGATATCTGGACTGAGCGGTCCAAAAGATTGTTGGTGAACGAACGTGGTGGTGGTAAACTGATCCCAAGCACAACAGATAACCAGTTAGAAGGACGGGGCTGAAGCGGTATAAGAGCAAACAAGAGGCCAGATGGTAGAGGACAGTAACCAAGTCAGAGTGAGACAGAGCTCACCTTGAACCCCCGAGTTCTCTCGAAACTAGAGACAAGCTGGGTCGGGATGGAACAAAAAACAACACAGGAGAGCTAGAGAGCGGGAAGGGAGAGAGGGGGGTGGGCGTGTAGTGAAGTAGTTGTAGCAGTAGTAGGCTGTGGGTCTTCTTGGACCTTGCACGACCAGCGAACCGGGAGGTGTGTAGGTACTTCCGCGGTACTACCACGAAATTGGGTGGAGGTGAGCGAGGATTCGACAAGAGGCGGGTGACACTGGTCGGCGACAGGGTACCTGAATGTACATCTGGGACTTCCCTGGTACCTACTTACATCCACTTTAACTTGAATTGTTGTTTATTCATCAGATCTGGTGGTTTAGTGCCTACCTGTACCGCAGACACGGAGCCTTTTCTCGTGAGCAGGGTTATAGTTCAAGCGCTGACTTGGCCGGCGGGCCTAGGCTGGCTGGTGTCATTGGGGCCAAACCGACCCAGGCCATGCCACCACCACTACCACTACTACCACCACCACCAGCTCATAAGTTAAGCGTCTCTCGCGACCGTCAGACCCCGAGCGTATGCTCTGGGACGCGCCAGAGGAAAGCCAGAGTGGACGAAGGGCTGGGTAGGAGGGGGGCCACAGCTGCGCATACATACGTACATACATACATAAGGTATGTTAGGTACTTACCTAGTTAGCTGGCTCATTACTGCGCGTCACTGGGGCCAATGAGGAAGTGAATCGGTAGGTACGAATTACATTCGACCGCACATACAGATTACATAGGAAGGACGCGGGTAAAGACGAAGGTTCCCTCACCGATCTTGTTCCCAGCTATGTGATCCCTACCTAGGAGAAAGTGAGGGTTAGGCAACGTGTGGTGGGAGGGAGAAACAGCAAAGACTTGTTATCAGATGTCCACAGTACAATGTGTCGTGCTCAGCTTGGGTATGTATGCAATGTACTAATACCCATTGGAGTATTTAAGATCCCACCACGCTACCTAAGACGAGCCCAAGCAGGCTAGCCCTTGTCTTGGCTTCCCTGCTTCTAGTGTACATATGTATATATGTACATACATACATAGATATGGACATCCAGGACATCTTAGTTAAAAGAAAAAAAAACCCAGGGGGTGGGGGGACCGTGGATAGGTATCATGATGGAAGCGTATGAGATGTCCTGAACAAGGAGATTCAAACATTCGGGCCTTGCTTGAAAATGCGGGGAGAAGGGAAGTGTTTAGGAAGCTAAAGCAGGTACCAAGTTTTAAAGAGAAACTTTATGCCCCCCCTTGAGACCAAGGGCGAAAGCATAGACTGAGCAAACTATAGTGACAAGACCATATAGTTAGGTAGGGAGTTGCTAAGATAGGAAATAGAAAGGGATGGCTGATTTTTGGAATTTGGGGATTTGGGGATTTTTCTTTCCTAGTTGCGTAAAATCCTAAAAGGGGCAGAAGGCTGTCGCTGCTCGTTGTTGGCCATGGCTAAGCTGAGCTAAAGCAATTCGACCTTTTTTTGTCTTTTTTCTTTTCGACATTTAGCAGGATATCACAGTGCGACTTTAATATTGTAACGTTGTCGGAGTCTTGGCATCCCGTCCAACCCAGCCCTGTATACGTAAAGTAAAGTGTAATTCCCTGTATACGTGTAATTGTTCTTGTAATTGTAATTGTAATTGTAATTGTCATGTGAGGTCCGTTTTGTCTTCCCTTGGCGCCGTTGTTAATCTTATGGAGATGACAACGGTAGAAAATAATATTGTGTACTTCATTTATGTATTCAATTGAATCATATTAAGACGGTCTCTACGTCATCTACGATATTTCTTTCTAAGATAAGATAACTATGGGTCTATTCCCGGATACATAAACCATACCTAATTGCGGACTTGCCGCCGCTTATTACTAACAGTGACGCTGTCAGATATAATTAGGTTAGGTACATAACAGGGGAATAACTTAGGTTAGATATCTTTTTAATCTCCTACGGCGCAAATGATTTTCTGTGGCTGAATCAACTTCGCCCATCCTCGACACTGCGATAATGACTGGTGAAGAAATGTCAGGTAAAAGCCCCGATACCGAGAGAAAGGAATCAACTGGCTTAGATGTCTAAGACCTTAGCGAATTGGTAATTTATAAAAGGGAAACATAATTCATAATTGTTATTATTTAAGATAATCTTAAGTCGTCCACCCTCGTTATTAGTATTAGGTAGTAATAAGCGTAATACTATTATATAGTACGTACCGTATCCATACATAATTCGATGATGACTGTATTACTCCAAGCCGACACGATGCTGTTAAAAACAGTAACCGAAAAGAAACGTAGATGTAAACGCTTAGTTACAAACTAATGTAGTAACTGTAGTAGTGTAATGAGGACATCTCATACATAATCGTGTTGTTGGTATTACTTTCCCCATCTTTTTTTTTCCTTTTCTTTTTTCCCAGCAGTTCCTGGATGTGCTCATCTTTACTGTGGAGACTTGTCCGGATTCGCTCACAAACCCCTGAGACTTTAACAGGAGCTCTAGCCAAAAAGGAAATCTCTTGAGTCAAGTCTCGAATAGGCCTTTCCAAAATGGGACATAGTACCCACCCGTCCCAAAGTTGTAGTTTTGGGGTACCCATAGAATGGGCATCCATGATCACTGATGGGCAGCATGGTATCCCCGGATCTAGGTACTGAGGTACTTCTCATTGACAGGCGGCGGCCACAACCTTGAAACTTATTTTTTTTCTTCTCCCTTTTCGCTTACTCTAATTGATCTGCGCTTTTGCACTCACTTGATGGAAGGTTACCATCAGCCCTGACAGACCTCGGGGCTTATTACTTCACCTACCGAGCTTAACGCCAACATATTCGGATCATAGATGAACTATTATCTTTTTTGAGTGTAAGGATGGCGCCAGCGCTTTGATCGATTAGAGACCACGAGACACGTCTAGTCTCGCGCCTCACGATGTCTTCAGTCACTCTTGGGAACTTGAAATAAAATAAATGAGGCGTTATTCGCGGACCCTAACCACTTCGGTGTTTTCAGTTTTGAGAAGCTAGTACCTAACACGACATTAGCGAAGCTTTCATCCCTCTTACTTAAAGTTAAATACCTACCTAGACATCAAGACTTATCACCGACTTCGTCCTCGAGTAACGAGACGTCCGCTGCTAAGAACTCCACCCTCTTTTCTGCTAATCAAGCCTTCCGGCCGCATTCGGCCTCGCAATTTCGAAAGGCCACTAGCCGGGTCTCTCTACTGCACCTTTATCATGCACGTTTAGCATCGGCATCGTGTCGATGTCCGTGTTCCCGCGCAACGAAAAAGAAAGGATGCCAGCGTTTGACAAGTACCTGACTAAATATCGTAGGCAACCCATGATAGGGCGCCCGATCCCACCATGATGCAGAGTGATTCAACCTGGCAGAGAGCAAGTTTCGCTCACATGGAGACTCACTTCGGTTTGGAGCTTACCGGAGATGCTTTTCAGGCGCATCGTAGCTTGGCTATTCCCGCTTCGTAACTAGACCTTAGCACCTCGCAGGCCAGAGTTACATTACCTAGAGCTAGGCTCTACTATTTCTGGAGAGTTCACGATTACTAGATGTGCCTACCCGCTTTCTGCGATGTGAGCAAAAGCCGAAGCCGGATAGTGTGAGATGATTGGCTCCTAACTAACAATTTGTCCCTCGGATCCTCACAAGGGCGTTCAGCATTATGGATCTAACGTAGTTCACACAGTATGGGCATATATTCACCCTCATATACAAATTGGAGGCCCAGCAGTTCGGTACCGATGGGAGATGGCAGTTTATGGCGTGATAAGCGGGATGAAAACATCCTACGGTTCAGCTTGGGGTTAATCTAGGTACTGAATCCTTCCCCCTCTCCGTCTTCTTCGCCTTAGTCTACTGCTCAACGTCTTTTCTCACGGCCCTGCTATGCTCGACTAAGAATCACCGCCGTACTAAATAGACCAGGGCTACCTACATTTGTGTACCTCTCCCGCGGGGGGGGTACCTAAAAGACCTATGAGATGGTGGTACATCCCTACATATTTAATTTTGTAAAAAGATGTCTGTGTATTCAGCTTTTCTTCTGTTGTGTTGAATGCCAAGATCCGCAATATCATTGGACTGTGCGTAGTAGCGGTTGTTAGAAATCAACAATGATGTCGTAATAACATTCTCCTTACTACGTACATACACTAAGGTCACACACTGTCGATTTTCTTAAGATGTGCAATATAGGTTCCGCCGGCTGGTTGGTACCACAGGGGATAAGAGGAGGAGTGGGGATGCATGTGTGCTGGAAATTTGGGGTTTAACTTTACCGGGGTCGCATTAGTTCCCATATAAGCGAAAATTGCCAAGCTGAGCCAGAAAGCTGGGACAGTAAGAGGTATGTACATACCGACATGGCTAGGGTTAATGTTCTCCAAAAAGGTGCAGAAGTGTCACTGCCAAAAGTTCCCAGCAACTACTACATGTATGTAGGTAGGTAGTTAGGTCCTTCCTATAATGCACCAACCGGGTAGGTAGGAAGGGCCAGTCTATGTGAATAGGGTTTAACCTATCATCCTAAAGGTAAGGTAAGCAAACACTCCCTTTAGGTATGCCTTCTTCTTCTTCTTCTTCTTTCTCTTTTACCTATCTCGATTAACTAAAGGGATATCAAAACGTCACTCGAAATCCACATGGTTTAATCATCACCAGTTGAGGTTTTCATTCGCCGCCTTGGGGAATTAAACTGCTAATTGCTCATCACGGCACTACATACGTGGTACGATATGAGGTACGCGAGACCCCCAGGGAAATGATCACCAGCTAGCCCAGATGTCCGGATAACCTTTTCTCTTGGAAGTGGGACAAGTCCCTGATTCCTTCGTTCCCTGTAAGTCACCTGCCGATCCATTATCTCTAGTTCGGGCTACGATGTAGTTAGCAATACAACGGCAAGCTAGACGAAGATGTCAGACGAAGATGTCGGGCAAATCGGCACTTCTCCTTCGGATCAAAGAGATAGGAGCATCTCGCCATCAAAGAGATCGTCGTATATACAGTACGTGGGAGGTAGCCTTACCTGTGCGAATGCTACCTACAAATGAAAGATACAGCACGCGGGATTAGACATCCTGGTC